GTGAGGGGCAGGGCTGGGTTCCTGTTGTTGGGCGGGGTGGGGCAGCTTCTTAGGGGTTGACTCAGGGCAAGGGTTCCCTGTCTCTAGTGGGAAAGTGTTAAGAGGCTATGGTGGGGCCATTCCTTAAACTGCATGCAGTATATGGGGTTCTGAGGGGTAGCTTGGAGAGTATGTAACTTTATAACAACAGAGTAGTCCTGTGGCACCTTAAAGACTAACAAAAAAGAAATAGTATCATGAGCTTCCGTGGACAAAGTGGGTTTTGCAAATAGCTCATGATACTATATAGATAGTATTTTTTAAAAACGTAAAAAACAAATAGTCTTGCAGCACCTTAAAGACTAACAAAACTGGTATTATGAGCTTTCATGGGCACAACCCACTTCTTCGGATTAATTAGTATTTTTTAAACTTCAAAACTAGCAAATGGTCTGGTAGCACTTTATAGCTTAACAAAACATGTGGTGGCACTGTCATCTGAAGAAGTGGGCTGTGCGCACGAAAGCCCATGATACCATCTACATGTTTTGTTAGTCTATAAAATGCTACCAGACCATTGGTTGTTTTTTAAGTGTGACCCATACAGACTAACTTGGCTACCCTCTGAAGCTTAGTATTTTTTGTTAGCCTATAAGGTGCTACAAGACTACTGCTTGTTTATACAGTATATGGGGCCTGTGTCACCTAGAACTGAGCAGCTATGGAGGTGAAAATTTGGCAGCTATGTAGGTTAGGATTCTTTGTATGAGTTTCAGTTTAATTTTCATGACTGTGTGGGTGCTAGATATTATTAGGAGGAGTCAGAAGAATCTCAATTAGTAATAGTGTAGGTGGGTTTTAACAACAGTAGTAGGTGCTGTGACAGTACAAACAATAGTAATTGAAAGATGGGTTAAATCCCTACGGCTGGGGAAGCTGGTGTTGACAAGTGTAAGGGCTGCCACAGATGTTGTTTTGTATGCTGCCTTATGTTTTATATGTGGCTAACATTGATTCTTGTAAGAGTCAGAGAGAGAAATCTTTTCATCTAGCGGTATGTCTGGAATTTGGGAAGAAGAAGGATTTCCTCGATTCTATAGCTCTTGAAGCTTAAACCTTCACTGAAATGTGCTGAAGTAAACAGATTTTTTTTAGATTTGAAAATGGTTATTAAACACTATAGACTTTCCACCTTAAAAAGGCACAGTTGACTTCTGAGTGGCTTTGGTGCTATTTTACTCTTTAGGAAATGCGGGGATGATGTTGTTGTTGTTGAAGTTTTATGGTGTAGGAGGTGACAGAGAATTTGCTTATTTTAGCAGAAACAAGCTGCTGGATGTAGAAGGAAAATAGGTCGTGCTCACAGAAAATGCCTCTAAGGGATAAGTGTTGTCAGACTGACCATCATCACCATGGATGCTGTGAACCAGGTATGGTGCAATGTAATGCTTTGTTTTTTAATTTATTCTATTCTCTGAGAAACTTTCATAAACTGGCTGTGACATCAGAAATGTGAATAATAATTAAGCCATTACATTAGCAAATAAGAAATTTCCTGATTTCAGTTTTTATTTTTTTTTAAATATCCTAAAACTGTCACAATAAATTACTTCAGGAAGATCAGTTTCTCAGTTCTTACAGGGCGCATAATAATCTCCAAGCTCATTTGGGCATTGTGAGCACTGAGCTGAGGGGAAGGCAAGATACTAGAAACAGTCACATTGTATCTGCATTTTAAAAAAATTGTAGTGTTTTGGTTTTTTTTACTAATCTGTTAAGTTCTCTTGTATTTTGTTGTGCTCCGATATAAGATGTATTTTCTTTACACCTTATTTGTTAAATATTCACAAAGTCATGGCTTTTGTTTTTGAGGGAACCTCTACCCCCCACACTACCAGTAGTGGTGTTTTGAAATTAGAATTGAATAATAACATTGAAAATATTATTATATGTTATAATATGTCATATTTTATATATATAAAGTGTAAGTGTGCACTGTGGATCCAAGCATCTTTTCATTGAGACTTTTTTGTTATTGTTTTGTTTAATAGTTGTATTGAGAAATCTCAATTCGAAATGTTTCCTCACCAATTTCTTCTTTTTATCTATTGTTATGAGGTTTCGTCTATCTCCTCTTCTCCATACCCCTTTTTATAAGTATGAATGGTATGAATTTTTGGGACTTATGAGGGAAAGTATTGTCTACCAACTCTGAAACTGTATCATTAACTAAAGATATTTTGAGAAATAAATTGAAGAGTTTTAACAATAAACCTTTCTATCTAAATAACTACTGTAATGTTTTAAAAAAATGGATTTAATAGGCAATTCTTGCCTTAGAGCCATGCATTTTGTCCACTTCACACATGAAACTCCCCTTGATGTCAAATGGACATCAGAGGCAATATATTGCCTACAGTAGGGATGTGAAAATGTAACTGTGTACATGATTAACTGATAAGCCTGGGCTCATCGATTAACATGCATGGTTATACACAGGTGGTATACACGTGGGAGCCAGCCTAGAACATGGCTCTACGCTTGCACTGGCTTGGGGGAGCTGCCCACCGCCCTGTGCTGCTGCCTCTGATACAGAGGCTCCATCTCAGTGTGGGTAGAGAGGGGCAAGTGGGAGCTGTTGCACATGGGGAACTGGCTTAAAAATCGGCTCCCTGCGTGCGCCAGCTCTGGGGAGTTGCCTGCCTCCTGTGTGTAACTGCTGAAATTTTCAGTGGTGACATGATTACTTAATTAAATACATTTTAAAATCCCTAGCCTACAGTGTTGGGTTTTTTTATTTAAGAATTGCAAGTAAGTTAGTAGGATACACTATGCTAGATATCACCAAACAATTAGTTGATTTGCGATGGTTGTTACATGTGTATGTGTTCAACAGTGTTTATGGTACGAGAATAGTTGAATAGAATACAAAGTCAAGCATACTTTGGCTATTTTTCTTTAAGTAATCTTTGCAGTTTGAATTTGTTTATAAGTGCTCATATTCTAGAGCAGTATTTCTTTTTATCTTTGAAACTTTTCCAAATGTTTTAAAAATGTTCAAAATAGCATTAGTCTATGTATTGACCCATTTAATACAAATACATGTGGTTTAATTGCATTCTGGGACCCTCCCACTTCACAGGGCCCTACAGCCCAGGTGTCAACCTGAGCCCAGACGTCTGCATTTCAGTTAAGCAGTCTGAGCCCTGTGAGCCTGAGTCATCTGGCACAGATCAGCTGCAAGTGTTGAATTGCTGTATAGATCTAGAATCATAGAACTGGAAGGAAGCTCAAGAGGTCATCATGTCCAGTCTCCTGAACCTATGGCAGGACCAAGCACCATCCAGATCATTCCTGACAGGTTTATGGAGATTTTTAAGAGCAGGCTAGACAATGATGGAGATTCCACAACCTCTCTAGGCAGTTTATTTCAGTGCTTAACCACTGTGACAATTGGGAGTACCTAAGGAGATTTGAGCCCTGTGTTTGCAAAAACTTATATAATTAGCAGTATTCATTCAAGTAACTTCATTGAGTTAAATGGGGCTGTTCGTGTGTTTAAAATGATTCATCTGTGTGTTTCCAGGATCAGGGTTATGGTGTCCATATCTTTGTGGCTATATACTAGTAATATTTTGAGTATGATATATTGGTGTGTATCTTGATCACTGGGTATGTCTGAGCTTTTTAGTTTATAAATTTGTTTTATATTCTTCACAAAGAATGGGAGGTGAATCTAAATGAAATTTAGAAAGTATCTTTTTTAATAGGATATCATTTCTGAAGTTGGCCTGATTTTAAAAAAAAACCCATCTTGATGACAATAATAATAATAATAATAATAATAATTGGAGTATACAGTTTGCAGTAAATATTAACTAGATATGTTCCTACTTTTTAGTACAGTTGTTCTAAATAATAGTTCTCTTAAGGGTTGCATATAAATCTGCACCTTTGATTAGTTACTGGGATCTCCCTATATGCATGCAGATGTGGAATTTAGTATTTTCATTGTTTTCTCATACCTATTATGTTTTTGCATGCACTGAAAAATGAGCCGAGGATTTTATGAAGGCACAAAGTGTCCTGAGTAATGTCAATCTAATAGACAGTCCTGTGTTGACAGAGACACTGAGTTATCTACAATTCTATTTTAGTGTATATACATATTCATATCTATATTTACAAAACATACACAGGACTATATGAATATTCAGAAAAAAATAATCAATATCAGTATATTGCCTGAAATAAGCATCTTTGCCATAGAATCTGCCCCTGTTCAAACTAATTTCAACAGCAAGGAGGGAAGAGTGCAAAATTCCAAATTACAAAGAATACAGCTAGTCACCTTTTAGCTCTCAGCTTCCATTAAAAAAGGAACAGAATATTTCCTGATGACTTTGTCCTGTTTTTCAACCAGCCTCAGTTATTGGTGTGTGTCATTTCTAACTGTCATCCTTGATGTCTTTCAGTGTATTTGTTGGAACCTGGTGATCCTCCTTTGTTACAGCAACCTCTGCAGATGTCAAAATCTGGTATTCAACAAATTATTGAGTGTTTTCGATCAGGTATGATTATTTGTGTGTAGTTGTTTCTTGCTTCTAAAGATATGAAGCTACGAGTGTGTCAGTAAAGTTACTGATTCCATAGAATTAATTTAATACACATAATTGCAAATGTTTGGCTGAGGTTTAGGCTTTGTTCTTGTGAGATCATGAGGTTCTAATGGAAGCATTTTCATACAATGTGATGAAGATGCAGTCCCAACTATACAGGCAGTCCCCGAGTTACGCGGATCCAACTTACGTCGGATCCGCAGTTACGAACGGGGATTTTTCTCACCCCGGAGGACTGGAGCGGCGGGACGCCTGGTCCTGCTGCCCGCCTCCTCCGGGGCAAGAAAAGCTGCTCCCCGTCTCCCTGGTCTGCTGGGGGAGCCAGCAGACCAGGGATATGGGGAGCAAAGCGGCGGAGGACCCGGGGCTGGACCCGCGGCCGGACCTGCGGCCGCTTCCAGATCAGCTGGAAGCGCTGCGGGTCCGGCCGGGTCCTCAGCGGCTTTGCTCAGCGTCTCCCTAGTCTGCTGGGGGGGGGGGGGGGGGG